TTCCCAGAGATCAAGTGAGAGAGGCCTGTGCCCCCTCACGAGGCTCAGGGACCCGGAGCCCGTAGGATGCACGTGGCCCACCGAGCCCTTCTGGGGGCTCAGCAAGAGGAGGTCAGATCAGACAGCCCTGAGCTGAGCCCCCAGACTCTCGCAGCCTCCCTGAGACGTGGGTTCCCACATCTATGAAACTGGCCCAAGTCCTCTCCCCGCTGGGTTGCACAGCTATGGTGCCGAGAAAGGAGCACGGGGTTTGGGGCAGGGGACCTCCCTAGGAGTCCAGGCTCAGCCACGAGGCCTTGCACACTGGTCCCCAAATGTGAAGAGACGGTGATGAGAATCCCCTATTCATTGCTGGGCTGTGGGGGACTGGATGAGAAGGGGCTGTGAAAGTGCTCTGTAAACTGTGCTGTATTGAACTGATGTCAAATTCGGTGGGAAGGGAGCTGGTTCTAGAAAAGGCACAGAGCGCCATTCCGAGTGTCTGGGCCTCTCCCCAGCGGGTCCCACCACCCCACTGGCAGCACTCACGTGGGGATCATCTGATCTGACCCACCCCATCCCGTGCAATCGCAAGCTGCGGAGCAGGAGAGACAGCTGACACGGACTACCCAGGGGCCGGCATGAGCCCTGCACCTGCCTGGCTCTGAAAGAACTTACTGCTTGGTGGGAGCAAAGCTGGGATGCCACACGGCAGGTGTGATAATAATGAAGGAACTTCCCAGGTTCCCACAGATACAGGAAGGTGTGGTTCATTCTGTTTAGGGGATTTGCATAGGGGACATTTGAGCTTGACCTTGAAAGAGAAATGTTTCCGTGGACAGAGGGAGAGGGGGCAGCAAATGCAAGGACAGGAGAGCACAGAGTGAGCCTGCACCCTGTGGCCTTCCCATCGTGGTAAGAGCCAGAATGTTCCCTTCCCATAAGGTGAAAATAGATACAAAGACAAAACACAGTAAGATACCTAGGAATAAACCTAACCAAGGAGGTAAAAGACCTGTACTCGGAAAACTATAGGATGTTGAAAAAGAGATTGAGGAAGATTTAAACAAGTGGAAGAATATACAGTATTCATGGATTGGTAGAATCAACATCATTAAAATGTCCATACTACCCAAAGCAATCTATAGATTCAATGCAATCCCCATTAAAATACCAACGGCAAATTCCACAGACATAAAACAAACTACCCCCAAATTTATATGGAATCAAAAAGACCCCGAATAGCTGCAGCAATCTTGAGAAAGAAGAACAAAGTTGGAGGGATCACAATACCAGATATCAAGTTATACTACAAAGCCGAGGAAGCAAAAAACACCCAATCAGAAGAGCAAAAAGAAAAAAAAAAGAATCCAAAAATATGAAAGATATTTTAAAGAGCCTCTAGGGCAGCGGTTCTCAGCCCGGGGGTCACAACCCTTTGGCAGTTGAACGACCCTTTCACAGGGGTCGCCTAAGACCATCCTGAATATCAGATATTTACATTACGATTCATAACAGTAGCAACATTACAGTTATGAAGTAGCAACGAAAATAATTTTATGGTTGGGTCACAACATGAGGAACTGTATTTAAAGGGCCAGAGGTTGAGAACCACTGCTCTAGGGCAAAGGAAACCAAGGAGAAAATAAACGGGATTACATGAAAATAAAAAGCTTCTGCACAGCAAAAAACCATCAACAAAACAAGAGGAGAGCCCAATATTTGCCAATGATACACCCAGTAAGGGGTTAATCTCCAATATATATCGGGAACTTGTACAACTTAACAAAAGGAAGACAAACAATCCAATTAAAAAATGGGCAAAGGACCTAAATAGACACTTTTTGAAAGAGGACATACAGAAGATCAAGAGGCATATGAAAAAATGTTCAAAGTCACTAATCATCGGAGAGATGCAGACCACAACGACAATATCATCCCACACCTGTCAGAATGGCTATCAACAAACTGCAAGTGTTGGCGAGGTTGTGGAAAAAGGGAACCCCTGCCCTAACCGGTTTGGCTCAGTGGATAGCGCGTAGGCCTGCGGACTGAGGGTCCCAGGTTCGATTCCGGTCAAGGGCATGTACCTTGGTTGTGGGCAACATCCCGAGTAGGGGGTGTGCAGGAGGCGGCTGATCGATGTTTCTCTCTCATGGATGTTTCTAACTATCCCTCTCCCTTCCTCTCTGTAAAAATCAATAAAATATGTTTAAAGAAAAACAAAACATGATACAGCCTCTTTAAAAAAAAAAGAAAGAAAGTGGTATCTACTTCCTCATCCCTTGCACTTGAAAAGAAAAGAAAAAGGGAACCCTAGTTCACTGCTGGTAGGAATGCAGACGGTATGGAAAACAGTACGGACTTTCTTAAAAAAATTGAAATTGGAACTGCCATTTGACCCAGTGATCCCACTTCCAGGAATATATCCTAAGAAACCCAAAACACTCGTCAGAAAGAATATATGCACTCCTATGTTCACAGCAGTGCTATTTACAATCGCCAAGATTTGGAAACAGCCTAAGTGTCCATCAGCAGATGAGTGAATAAAAAAACTGGGGTACCTTTACACAATAGATATGTGGCAATAAAAAAAACCAAAACCTCTTACCATTTGCAACAGCATGGATGAACTTGGAGTATTATGCTGAACAAAATAAGCCAGTCAGAGAAAGATAAGTATCACATGATCTCACTCATATGTGGAATCTAATGAACCAAATAAACTGAGGATCACAAATAGACCCAGAGACATAGAAGCATGAACAGACTGTTGAACCTCAGAGGGAAGGCAGGTGGGTGAGAAGAGAGCAACCAATAAACTTGTATGCCTATATGCATAACCCGTGGACACAGACAATGGGGTGATGAGGACCTGGGGGGAGAGGGGCGGGGGGCAGAAGGGAGAGGGCTAGAAGAGATTAATGGGGAAAAAGAAGTACCTATGTAATACTTACAACAATAAAGATTAAAATAAAATAAAAAAACAGATACAAAGAGCAGTGGGAGCATGGGGTCATGGGCAGGGCGCCTGAGGTGTGGATCTAGGGTGTTTCAGGAAGAAAGGGATTAGATTATGAGGGGCCTTGAGTGCTGGTGTCAAGGTCTGGGGCTTCATCGGGGAAGGGATGAGGGTTGGTTGGAGTAGGGGTTCCTGTGGTCAGCCTGTGGTTCTCTGAGTTCTTCCATCCGAGAGGAATGGAGGATGGATTGAGGGGTTGAGAGGCAGGAGAGAGATTAGGAGGTCTGAGCTAGGGAGAGTGGACAGAGCCTCAGGGAGACACAGCGGAAGGAGGCATGTTTAGAAGATGGAGGTGCTGCCTCCGGAGGCCCTGGTAACAGCTGCACTGGACCCAACGCGCCTTTACAAGCACCTCTACTGCCCTGTTCTGGCCAGGCCACGGTGCCGCGGCGACATTTCATGCCCAGTGATGCACGCACCCCAAACAAGGCAGGTGAGCCCCTGCTGGAGGCTGCCCTCAGGGACTCAGCCAGAGGAACAGTGAGGGCCGTGGCTGGACAGCCTGGGGGAATCAGCCGGAGGGAGTCGGGAGAGGAGGCCGGTGGAGGCGAGTGCCTTCTTGGGACGGGCTTATCCCACAGGCAAGCACAGGTCTGGGCTCTGGCCTGGGCTCCAGGTCCAGCCTCTCCGCCAGGAGGAAGGAAACGTCTGCTTTGGCTATCGCTTCAGTCACACCCTGCAAAACTGGCGGCCAGTTACCAGAAGGGTGAACACGGTGGGGCTTCCGTTAGACACCAAAGAGGTGGGACAGTCTCCCTTCTCTCACTCTGGCGAAGGAGTGGCCTCTGATCAACAGCTTCGGGAAAACAGGGCCCGTCTGTCAGGCCTCCTGTGAACCAGCAGCCTCATTTCCCTAACACCCTGTGGGGTGTGGGGGGCAGGGCTTACTCTGCTGTGTCTGCAGGGATGGGGACTCCTAGACCCTGACCCTGGCGGAGCAGCCTGCCTCCTGGTGGGAAGGGAGTGGCCTTGGCTCAGCCCTGTGCTCTGAGGAGCAGGAGGGAGGAGGCCGCAGGACAGGGCGTTGCGTGGGAGCCATATGCAGGGGAAGCAGGTTTTATTGAGAGAATGGGCGGGCTGGAAGGAGGGTCCAGCAAGGATTCAGGTGGCCCCCTGCTGTAAAGTAACTGGCTAAGAGCGGGCAGGATCATGATTAACAACCTTGTCTTTGGGTTTGGCAACATTCCTGGGAGACTGAGTGCCAGTTGCTCGTGACCGTGTACGGCTGTGTGTGTGCTGCCCCAACTGCTCCAGTGGGCCTGAGTGAGGGGGACTCAGGAGACAGGGAGGGTGGTGGGAGGAGAAGACAAGGACGGAGGGGAGGCGGACAGATGTGCTGATCCGGGGCACACTCCTGCCCACAGGACCCTCCTTGCCCTTCCTTTGCGAGCATTTCATGAGCCTCCTGTGTGCCAGGCACTGTGCTGATGCCCTCAGACCTGGCATCCTCCTGACTCGGAGTGTGATATCAACTCTTCCCAGGGCTGCCAGGACACATTAAAGGGCCACGTTAACCCAAATCCAACAACGCTGTGGGGAGCGTGACTCTGCAAGGGCAGCCTCCGTCCACCTGTTGGTTGGCCCTGGGCCTGCACTTGCCCGCGGCCATACCCACAATGCTCCTGTGGCTGCCTGTGAGGCTTCCCCTCTGAGAGGAGGGGACACAGGTGGAGACAAGAGGGGAGCCTACTCTTATGCAAGGAGCTCCCCTTTTCCTCCCACCATCTCTGGCACCTGGGTCTGGCCTCATGTTCCTCCTCATCCTAACCCGCACCAGTTCTTGTCTCCTCCCCTCAGGAGCCTCCTCCTCACCCAGGACGCCCAGCACACAGGAGCCCTGGGCAGTGCTGACCACACAGAGAGCACCCCAAATGGGGAGGGCTTCAGTCAGAGGCCATACAACCATGGGACTCCTGCCTTGGGGTCAAGGTCAAACAAAATCAGGCAAAATGACCCCTGTGGCTCCTGCCAGCTTGAAGACTTAAGAAGCCGTAGTTAGTGACTTCTTAGTTAATTATTTCTTAATTAATAACAAACCGAACACTGCAGCAGTAGGCAAGCTAATGAAATAAACGAGGCTAATCTGTTAACTACACCCAAGTAGCACATGATCGGACGGGAGTCGCGGGCATTTCCACTCCATCCCACAGAGCGGAGGCGGGAAGTAGGCATGATGCTCCCGGGCTTCAGCCAGCGCTCCCGCTGGGCCCCACAGACCCAGGACTCAGCTGCCTCACGTCCTTTCCTCACCACAGCGCAGCCTGGGCTGTTGGTTCCCCAAACACAACAGTTTCACCCCCACTGTCGCTTCCCATGAGCTCAGAATAGGAGATGCCATCTGTCACCTTTGGGATGTCATATGTCCACTGTGACTTGCAAACAGGTTTACCACCGCGAGGCGCTGGGAGGAAGGCGGGCGCGAGTCAGGCGGCTCCCGAAGCGCAGGACCCACAGCTCGCAGAGTCCCGGCAGGAATCCGGCAGCCGGCGTTTCTCCGCGTGGGAAGCCCAGGGCCTCTCTCCAGCCCTGAAGGAAGGGCTTGCTTGTTCCGGGAGGACAGAGCGGCCCTCAGGACAGAACGCGTGTGGAATGGGGAAGCTTGCCTGCGCCGGGTGGGAGGTGGCCCTCCACCAGCGGGGCAGTCGCGGTAGCTTCCTGGGGCATGCCGCCGTGAGGGTGCCGGCTCCCAAACCTGCCACTCCGGCCACACACCAGCCGCTTTTCATCCAGCAGGGACAGGTGGTATTCACACAGGTCGACCAGCGAGGCCACCTGCTGGTGCAGGGGCAGCATCTTGAACTTCCTCTGAGCCAGGTAAAAGAAAGCCTCTACGAAGGCCTGCAGGCACATCCCTGTGGGGAAGAGACCAGTGTCAGAGGTGTAGGACAGCTGCCCCGACTCCAGTCACTAGCACTTCCCACAGGAGTTCCCACTCTGGAAACGAAACAGGTCTCAATCGCAGGCTCCCACCCACCACACGCCCAGCTGGGCATATACAACCTTTGGCAGATTCGATCCTTAAGCAACCCTGTGCAGTAGGTTTAATTAGCCCCATTTTACAGATGAGAAAACGGAGTCTCAGAGAGGTGGGGAGACCTGGGCCAAGTCCTCTGGGAAGTGGTGTTGGGATTTAAGCCTAGTCCAAAGCTGTAGCCCTCTGCACCACCAAAAAATGTTCCTGTTAAAAGCCAGGCACTGACTTTGATTCCACTGGACGGGAGACAGTTACTCAGGTCAGCCCAATCAGATGGCAATGTTTCACATCTGGATAGAGGTGCTGGCTTTGTGGGTGTATTTGTCGAAAGTCATCAACTTGGACCTTAACATGTGTGCATTTGGTTGTATGTAAATTTTACCTCAAAAAGTAAAATACAACTGACCCCTTCTCTCTACCCAAAACTATATTCTACATCATATTAATAGTCCCCTCTGTGCTCCTGGAATGTCCTTTCTTACTTCTTGGGATCTGAGCTCAAAATCACTTGCTCAGAGACCTTCCCTGGCTCCCAGCTTAGACCCGGCCCACACAGCTGCCTGCACTTCCCTTTGGAGCGTATACGGCTTGGTCTGTGCTCGTCTGTGTGGCTCTTTGACACTCTGTCTTCCTTGCTGGCTTGTGAGCCCCAGCTCACCACTGCACCTCCAGTCCCAGGCACACAAAGGTGCTCCATATCGTCATGCTGAATGAACGAGTTGGTTCTAGGCACTTTACAGACATTATCACTAATCCTTACAATGCCTTTTCGAGGTCAGTATTGTGCTCCCTTTTACAGACGAGGAAACTGACTCAGGAAGGGTGAGTAACTTCCTTAAGGTCACATAGCACAGAACAGTGGCCTGGAAATTCAAACTCTGACTCCCAGTTCGTTTAACTAAGTTGTGCTGCATGCAGGGTTCTGAATCTTCCCAATGTCCAAGTGAAAATGAACCCATGACCCAAATTCATGGGATTCCCTGGGCTCCTTGGGGAAGGTGACACGAGGCTGGACCGAATCTGATCTGAGGTGGTGCCCAAGCCCCTGCAGTGTTTGAGATGAGGCTGGCGCTGCCTCTGCTGGCCCACACCTTCCCAGTGGCCTTGCTTCTGGCTCAGAGGCATTATTCACCCGCTTCTGCCACCACAGGTGGAGCCAGGTCACAGGTGGAGTTGGTAAATCCTGGGTTCCATGTGGACCCTGGGTCTGAGAGCTCTTCTCGCCTTGGGAACCTGCGCTGAGCAAAGTTGTTCTGTTTCCAAGCCCACAAGGCTCCTTTGCTCGGCTTCTTTCGACTCCTGATGCGCTGCACGCCCCCTGCTCTGCTTGGCCCCGACAGGAGGAGTTGACAATGAGAACAACAACCCGGTGTAAAACCCTGTAATGTCCACGGAGGGCTGGTGGGACACAGGCAGGGAATCAAGAGGCAGGCGCTTCCTAATCACCGAGTCTGGGGCCAGGGCTCTCCTGGGATGTGTGTGCCTGGCTGCGCGTGTGTGTCACTGTAGGCGGGAGAGTCAGGCGCATGCAGAGTGGAAGAGGTCGAGTCCAGAGCCAGAGAAGCCCAGTGCCGCCCCAGCCCCCAACTTTCCTGCTTGTGGTCTAAACAGCACTACCCAAAGTGTGGTCTGCAGCCTGGTGCCACGTCCAGGAACTGCGAGTCCCGGCCCTGACAAGATAAGGAGCTCGGGCCAGAATGTAAATCCCCCTTCTCATCCATCACCTTGTTAAGTTCAGCTGGCAGCATCTTGAGGCAAGTTCCCCGACAAAGGCAGCAGCACGTGTTTGCATGCTGGCTCAGCCTCTTGTTCGGGGCTGTGAGCAGCAGTTCGTGGACGCGCCTGTGAGCAGCCTGGGTCCACACAGCCCTCCCCGGCTTCAACATGCATGCCGGGCGCCACAGTCCCGTCAGACGCAGATCTGAGGTGGTGCCCGAGCAAGCTCCTGACTGGCTCCCATGATGCCCGGCTGCGGGCCCTCAGAGCATGCTCTGAGCAGCAAGGGCTGAGCGCCTGCTACTCAGCAAATATTTGTTTCCTCCCCTTAATTGAAGGCAGACAGTGATTAGAGCTATAATGCACAGAAAAAATACACCGAGGACCTTTCCCGGGGAAAAATGCATGGCTAAATGATTTGGAAGAAATTCTAAAACGAGAAGTAGGATTTAATGTTATACTAGGTTTGCTTGTCTATATTTTCTGATTTTCTGTAGTAAACACATAAGCAATTCTAAAATATGCCATGGAAAGCTCTAGAGTTTGGAAAGAGGGGGTGCAAGGGCCGCTGCTTTTAATTATGAGCCCTTTGCTACTATTTAAATTATAAGTTATGCACTTGTATTACTTTGAAAAAAAATACAATGTAAGCTTTCTGCATGTATGTCCTACTTTGACATCTATTAACTAATATATATGTGGAAAACAGACGAGGAAGTAAAAGCGAATAGGACATTACTGAAGTCGGAGGTCAGGTGCCGGCAGAGTTTGGTTCTGGTGAGGTCTCTTCCTGGCCTGCAGTCGGCCGCCTCTCACTGTGTCCTCAATGGCAGAGAGTGAGCCAGCTCTCTGGTCTCTCTTATATGGACACAGTCCCATCAGATCAGAGGCCAGCCTTATGACCTCATTTCACCTTCATTACTTCCTTAGAGGCCTGTCTCCAAATACAGTCACACTGGGGTTAGGGTTTCAACATATGGACTTGGTAGGGACACAGTCAAGCCCACTGCACCCCAGCATGCCCAGCTCTCTTGAGGTGCAATCCAGCACCTGGGGACACTCTCCTACCACTAGCCAAGTCTCTAAAATGACCTGAGCCATTCAGCAGAAATATAAGTAATCGTACCCTCTTCCCTGCTCCCCTCTCCCCCTGAAGACCCCTCGAAGCTCTGATCAGAGTTGGAAGCATGTCTTTGGTAACATTGCGTTAGTGACCCATTACAGTAAAAGTAATGAAAGGAAACAATAATAGTGAATATTTACTGAGCCCTCATTAAGTGGATGGCCCTGGGCTAAATGTGGTTATTTAACTTAATTCCACAGAAACCTTATAAAGCAGGTAGGTGAAAGCATCAAACTCAAACCCGTTTCACATTAGAGGTTCGTCAAAGCCACACATAGCTGACAGGCGGCAGACCCCAAGGACCACTACCTTGACCTCTTTACTCCACGGCTGCGAGGAGTGTTAATTCCAGCTGCGGAGAAGAGACACCCTCCTTGCAGCGCGTGAGGGATGGCCTCCTCTGTGGGCTGCCAGCAGCAAGGCGCAGCCAGGTCTGCCGGGCTCTGCACAGGCTGTCCCCACCTGCCTCCCACGCCCCAAGATAAGCTGCTGAGTATTTTTTTGAAACTCCATTTGGGCTGACGGATGTCGCTGGAGAAAGCGGCCTTTGAAACATTCCAGTTGTAGCCGCACGCACGTCTCTCACCCGAGACGGCCACTTGGATATCGGGATGCGGCCCTTGACAGAAGATGGCCTCATTCTGTCAATCCGGCGGGGGAGGGCGGGCCCACAGGCTCCTCTGGCTCCAGTCCTCCCCTCTCCACTCCCAGGGAGCGGTCCGCACCCGGCTTAGTGACAGCGATGGTGGCTGCTCTCTGATAATCCCATCGTCTATTTTGGAGCTTAAGGATGGAAACAAGAATAATACCTACAAGTGCACAGCCCTTGCCAATTTATAAAGAATATCCGTTTCCTTATCTGGCTCTCAGAGCAATGCTTGGAAGACGATGTTACTGCAAGTGCTCCCCATTTACAGTTGAGGAACACAGACCCAGACAGGCAAGCGGCTTGTCACGGCCCCCAAAGTGGGTGAGGCAGCACTTACACCCACATCCATCTGACTCCCAGGCCCAGCCATTTGCCTACATCTGACATCCATGAATTATCATATAGTTCACAGGGCACATTTGCATATGTGAGATAATTAAATCATTGTCGGCTGCCGGAGATACTACCCCAGGCTGGCTAGGAGAGGTTTCTTTTCCTCTCGAACGCACTGAGCTCCTTGCTAGGGCTTCTGTTTCATAGCGCTGGGGTGCTGGGCTAGGGCAGCTCTTTCCAGTCCCTTCTCTCTCTCCCAGCCTTAAATCTCTTTCCCGTTCCTCACCCAGAATAGACGTTTCTGTCTCACAGTGCGAGCCTAAACGTGTAAATACACAGCCTTCCGTTTGGAAGCGTCGGTAGGAAATAAAGCTGAGCGATCTTGACTAGAATTAGCTCAGTGATTCCTCTCTGTGCGGTGGAATGTTCCCCACAAGAGCGATCTGCGAAGGCTGCGTGACTCCGGGTGGTTAATCACCAGCCTCTCAGTCTGCTTCCCACTCCTGGGCACCCCCAGCCAGGCTCCTGGGCGGCTGCGGGGGTGTCTTAAGGAACTGCATGGGGACAGCAAACCTGGGCATGCCCTGGGAGGCGGCATTCAGGTCTGTGGAACAGTGACTGGCAATCTGACGGGCTGGGCTGGATCCCAACTCAGCTACTTACTAGCTGGCTAGTCTCTAGCGAGTCCTTTCACCTCTCAAGGTCTCTGTTTCTTTGTCTGTAAAGTGGGGCCTGTACTGCCTGCCCCTTTTACAAGGCACTGCCCAGAATAGCCCAATACACGCTTCAAAATAGCAGTGGCACCACCGCCCGTCACTCCCACTCTGATGCTGCACCCTCCCCGCACAGCGACTGCCCGCAGCGCTCTCAGGACACTGGTTTACCCTTCGATCAGGGAGCTGGCTGCTGGTCGCCACGCGTGACTGTGGCGAAGCCAGGGGGCCTTTGCCTCCCTCTCCAGCTCTCACAGAACGGTGTCTCAGCAAGTGTCCGCAGGATGGATGAGCCCACGGACTGGCCAGAGGAGGAAACCCTGCGGGGAGGTCAGATCTTTGCA